GGATTCGAATCAGAACAGCCCTGGGATTCTTTAAATGACTCAAAGGCTAATCTCTGGGCTTCACTGGGTGGCCAGGAGCTCAGTGCCTTCCAGTTGCCATTCCACTGCCCCAGGTTTCCTGCCTGATACGGAGCGTGCACATTTGTGATTGAGAGGTCCTTGAGAAATGAGACTATCTTCACTGATTCCTGTTCATGACCAGACAGTAGAAGATGGTCATTGAGGGGTCTGTAGAAAGGACTGGATCTGAACTGTTAGAATGAGCACAGGGTTTACAAGTGAACTGGGGAGGTCACATCACCAGGGCAGACCATGTCTGCTTCCCATGATCTAGAGACTTGGGAGGTGGGTCATGCTAAAGCACGACATCTCCAGGACATCTGAGAGGAAGGCTTAGGGCAACTTATTACTTCCTCCATCCATTAACTCCAGAATCTTCAGGTTAAAACAATCCTTTGCCCCATGTCAGGGCTAGATGTGGAGACTGCAGAAGGGCAGTGATGGCTGAGAAGCAGAGGTCAGGAGGATAAAGGGCAGCAGGAAGACCTCTGAGACCCTGTTGGGGCTACAGGCAGTTATCTGTTCTCTTAGCACCAGTCAGGCTAATACTATCTGCTCTTCTTCAGGGTATCTTTCGGCCTATCACCTTCCCCGCTAAACTGTTTCTCCATGACTATTGATTCTGGCTTGTGGACTGCAAAGCTGTAAATCCACAAGTTCTGCAGCCCATCCACTGTAACATATGTATGTCCATGTAGACCATCATGAGCTAACTCAGTGTGTGCGTATGCTCATGTGTGTGCATGTATGTATTATAGTCTGTAGTTGAAGATCTCTGTATATAATAGCTGCCGTATTTATATGTGAGTGCAGAATTAGTGCCTGTGGCCGTTTTCTGTATTTTAAACTCATTGAATCAACTTAGTTTTATTTTAGAAACAGGGAAGGGAAAATGAGGGGAACTTAGGAAGAACTCTTAGCAAACTCATTCTTTAGGATTATTAGTTGTGATTTCCCAATGAGCTTTTATGATGCCCTTTTCAAATAAATGTTAATGTTGTCACCACATGGCTGTCTATTTCATGTCTTTAAAGTAAATGGGTTTTGGAGATGCAAACAGGATCTGAAAATACCAAGTTTACTGCTGACATTTAGCCACCCCCAGGTACCATTACTTTACCTGCCTCAGAAGAAAGGAAGGAGGTGAAAAGGTGCTACCAAGGTGGAATATAATGCTCATGATTCCCAGCATAGGAGCATCCTCGGATTGGAAGGCCGGGGCCTGCAATGAAAATCAAGTCCCTTCAATATAAGACAGGGGAAACTTTATCTTAAGGATCTGAGTGACTTTCTGACTCCCCTCACATCAGGACTTCCCAGTTGAGTTCCTTATGTTGCTTCCTTAATTATGAACTCCGAGAGCATCAAAGCATGGGGAGATGAGAGAAAGAGAGAGAGAGCTGCCATGCGTCAATTCTGAGTCACTATGACCTTATGTATCACAGAACTGAATGTCGTCTGGTTCTGTTTCATCCTCTTGATTGTTGACATGTTCAATTCCATTGTTGCATCTATTGCGACAATCTATTTCACTGGCCCTTACTGATCTTCCACTTCTCCAAACATGACTATAATCCCTCCCGATGACATGTCCAAAGCAAGGAAGTCAGACAGTATTCTGTTGGAATTCATAAACCTTTTATTGCTTAAGTTTTGGAAGCAGATCACAAGACCTTGCTTCCCAGATTGCCTTACTCTAGAAACTATGCTAAAACCTGTCCACAATGGGTAACCCTGGTGGCATTTGAAACACTAGAAAAATATAAACCACCACAGTACAACAAAACAGATGATGGGTGGTGGACATATACATGCACAAATGTTTCCAGGCTGACTTTAATCTCTACCATTCCAGATATGTCTACTACAGTTAATAAGTATGTGTGCGTCTCTATATAGAAATATTTGTCTCTTGTGAATTATAAATGTGTATAACTGCAAGTCCTTGGCCCCAGCATTGTAAAAACATGAAGGGATGATATGAAAGAAATATACCCCCTGGTTTCTGCCCTTGTGGTGCTTACAGTTTCCCTAAAGGAGAGCGTCTACATACATATAGGAAGTAACTTGCCATCCAGGGTGGACAGCAAGTTCTCCAATGTAGTGTGGCTGAGGCACTGGAAATGGTCAGATTTGACTGGAAAAGACCATGGCTGGAGCTCCTGGTGGAAAAAAGGTAACATACACAATGACAGGTAACATACAAAATGAAATGACAGTGTGGAATGGACTGCAGTTCCTGTGATGACATGAGGTGATGATTTGTTGGATATGGAACTCATCATTTGTTCTGTAAACCCTCACTCAATTCACAATGAAAAGTTGTGAACAAAGAAATGACAGCAGGGGTGAAGGCATCCAGGCAGAGGGTGAAGGCAAGTGGGAGACGGACAGTGAGGAAACTGGATATTAGGCAGAGCCTTTATCAGGGGAAGCATGGGAAGTTGGGCTAGGTAAAGGAAGTGAGTCCTATTGACAACAGTTTGGAATTGATGAAAAATTAGCAGGAGGTCCTGTTTGGCACTTGAATCAGGGAATGCTGTGAGGAAAGCAAGATTTTGTATTTATTAGTATGAAGTTTGTATATGATGGATTGGGGAGAAAAGCAACTGGGGCAAAGAGATCGGGTAGTTAGGAAGCTGCTGTGATAGTTGAGGCCTGATTAGGGAGCACAGAGACTGAAGAGAAAGAAGAAAAGAGCTTGGGGACCTCAAGAGTTGGACCTCTGGGATGGGAAGGAGTATCAACATGTCTGTATCTCTGTCTGTTGCACTATATTTTCACAGATGAGTACATTTCCTGGGGTTGATGTGTAGGTAGGGGATGAAACTGTCAGATCTGATTCATAGTGAACCTGTACAGTGTTTCCAAGGAGCAGCTGGTGGATTTGAACTTACGGTTTGCAATTCAGTACTGATCCTACAGAGTCACACCAGGAGTCCAAAATATGCATTAGAAGAAAAGAACATCTTTCTTGGGAGTGTAGACAAATTCCATCTGATACCAACCTTCAGCTTTTACCCTTAACTTTTCAGTAAAGAAAAGATGATCACATTCATTTAATTCTATCGCTCCTCAGAAACCCCACACATGGTGGCTATGAGTTGGAACTGACTCCATGGTACTTAACAACAGACCTCACGCTAAGGAGGGAGGGGACTGATGAGAGAACCAAATCCAGAAGTTTAGAGACCTACTTAAACATGACAGGACTGTGATCTGGGAAAGCATTGTCACAGTGTCTCACTTCACAGTCCAGAAAGCCTCCCCTTTGGGCGCCACAACCCACATCTGGTTAGCGTTTGGAGTTGGACAGGAACTGGGGAGATCCTAAGGCTCCCATGGCCATTCATGTGGGAATCCCGCCTTTGGCCCATCTGTTGCTGATCTGTCTTCCATCCAATGGAAGGGGGTGAGAAATAATGGCCATCCTAGGAATGTTGATTTTTCACCCACATTGCAAAATTTATTTGGAAAAAAGTCAGTTTGATGTCTACACCAAGGAAACCACACATCGACAGGGCTTTTTATGTTGTGTTGGTAAAGGCTGTCAAGTCAATTCTGACTCATAGTGACCCTGTTAGGGTTTCTGAGGCTTTAAATCTTTGTAGGAGTTGAAAACCTCATCTTCTGGGGAGCGGCTCATGGGTTTGAAAAGCCAATCTTGTGGTTCTTAGCTCAGTGCTTATTGTGTGGAACCTCTGGGTACTGGGCTTTTTATACCTCTCACTATATAGCTAGCAGTCCCAGATCTTTTCAAAAACCAGTTAACTCAACCCCCTCAAGTGCTTGAGATGCTAGTGGATGCATTCTTCTCTCCTGACAACATGGCCTCTGACCAGGCTGGGGATGGCCTGAGTTCCTTGAGAATAGAGTGAATAACGTTGCTATATTACCACAGAATATGGCCACTATCAGTGACGTTAACACAGTGATCAAGTCTTTCCTCTGACTACTCACCCTGGCCTGGTTGTTTAGTGAGCTCTCTGGGTACATAACTCCTCTTCCCACATGGCTCCTCTCTGCAAGTCCACAGTCCAAGGCTCAGGCACCACTTTGTGGAACTGAGTCCTAAATAAGATGACACCTGAGGTGGCATCTTTTCCTTCTTGTCTTGGTCCCCTAATAGTAAAGAGACTCTGGACAGCTTTGGGCAATCGAAGGCAAGGATTTCTGAGGGCAAACATGTGGAATTTGTATACTCCTCCAGTTTCCGTCTTCTGCTGTTTCTGTCTGTTGTCAGTGTCTAATATACTGCTTGAGGACAGGGTTTCATCTTTCGCTAAGGTCCTGCTTGGGTCCTACCTCTTGGCTTCTAGTTCTGGATGGACCTGCACAACTTGCCTATCAAGTGACTGCTCCAACAAATGATTCTTCAAGAAGCATTTAAATAGCCATCTTGAGCCACCAGCATCCCAAAGCCACCAAGGTCCCTTAAAGGCCCATGTATTGGAGTGGAGGTGGGGGGCACTAGGAGGGCGGAGGCTTTTTCTCCCCATTTCACCATCCTCTTCTTGTTAAGTGCCCTTGAGTCAGTTATGACTCACAGTGACCCTCTATAGGGTTTCTGAGGAGCGGCTAGTGAGCTTGAACCACAGACCTTGGGTATCAATCCAACCTTGCAGTCCAGCGCATTAACCTGCAGCGCCACACCAGGACTCTATCCTATACCTTATGAAATATATTAACAACCAAGTTGCATGGAAATCATTCTGCCCAACGTACAATGTATGTTGCTCTTTGCGGATGCATGTATATTTTTATAGCATTCAAAGTCGAGACTGATGAGACAGTTGAAAGGTTTTATTTCCTAACTACCAGGGACAGAATTAAGGTGCTGAGTATCTGCTGCATCACCTCCCACCTCCAGGCTGGGCGGCGGAGGGGCGCAGGGGCAGTGAGGAGGCCGGCTTCCCGGAGAGAGAAGCCCCCCTGCGTCCTCACTGGCCCTTCTTGTGGGCGTTCTTGATGATGGCGTTTCTGAACAGCGTCACCAGGGGCGTCTGGCTTTTCTCCGAGGTCATGAAGCCGCCATAGCGTTTGTCCTTAGGCGGGCTGCCCCAGCGGAAATGCTCCATTTTATAAGGCCCGTCGTCCTTCTTCTCGGCCGACATCGCCTCGGCTTCCGCCACTAGGCCGTACTCCAGGTCGGCCCGGGAGGCAGTGCCCTCGTCCGGTGCTTCGGGGCGGTGCGCTGGCTCGGGCCGCTCCCCGGCCAGCTCCCGCTTGAACTCGAGGGGGAAGACCTCGGCGGACTCGTCGTCGGCGCCGTTGGGGTACACCTTCACTGGGCGCCTCTTCTTGCCCACCGGCTTGCCCCAGCGGAAGTGCTCCATGGAGTAAGAGCGCTTACCATCGCGGGGGCCCGGCCCATCGCCATCACCTTGGAGCCCGGGGCCGCCCTCGACCGCCTGCTCCTCCTCGCGCTTCTGCCCTGCGGCGCCGCCGCCGCTGCTGCCATTCCGGCCGCCAAACCTATCCCAGCGGAAGTGACCCATGACGTACTTCCGGGGGTTCTCGGTCAGCGGCTGCTCTTCACCGTTGCTGGTGAACACGGGCCTTTCCGATGAGAGGTCCGGCTTGCAGGCCTCGATGCACTCCTGGGTGGGGAAGAGACGCTAGGGTGTCAGGGTGACCCGAACTTTCCTCCGGGCCTGCCCGCAGCTCCCAGCAAGGGCACCTGAGACCCTCCTGGAATGCCACCCACATAGCATCCAGAGCCTGACTGTGACTCTAGGCCCTTGCTGCCAAGGTCCTCCTGCAAGCAATGTGCACATTCCCGCCCTCTTTACATCTGCAAGGACATCACGTCTTTGGTCCCCTGCACCTCTTGGATCCTTCTGCAGGGTGATAGATAACCACACCCTATCCTCCCTGGTTCACTTGTCTAACCTTTCACAACTTTTGTGAGCAGGACCTAGATCGTGCAGGACCTGCATTGTCAATAAAGTCTCAACCTTGTCCCAGTGACCTGCACACTTCTCCCACCCCACTGGCTCTGCAGTCTTCTTGAGCTGACCTCTCCCTGGACTTGCCCCAGCTTGGTGGGTGGGGAGAGCTCGCTTCTCTCTCAACTCATTCTGACAGAAGGGAGAGGTGCAGGGTCAGGGTCAGTTCCATTACACAGGTCATAGTCCTGGGTCTCCGGTTCCTTTCCCTAGAGGACTCAGCTGTGATTCCTATTTGTTTCAGAAAATGACCCTTAGGCAGCATGGTCAGCTACTAAGGGACTGAAGGAGAAAATAAAAGGATCCCACCCACTTTGTAGAGTTGGGAATGTCCTACTCCCAGGATTTAGCATTACAACACTGAAGAAAGATGTGAGGGGGGAAGGGGGGCGTTAAACCCTCTCCCCATTCAGTGGAGAGATGAAACAAGGCACAGAGTGAAAGGACCTGACCAAGGCCCCACAGTTCATTTGGTGACAGAACCAGAAGCCACTGACACTAACTGCATCCAGTGCTCCTTCCTCAGCAGAAGACACTGGGAAAAATCAGTCACTTGCACTGTGGTGACCCAGAGGGTCAACGGGCTTTTACATGCTCCTGGAAACACTGCAGATGAACATGGCAGAAGGCCACCCCTACAGACGTAGCCTAAGACATTTGGAACCAGTTAGAGGAAAATGGAGGGAGCTCTGGTAGTGTAGCGGTTACAAGTCGGCCTGCTAACCTCACGGTCAACAGTTCGAAACTACCAGTTGTTTTTTCAGGAAAAAGATGAGGATTTCTGTTCCCATAAAGATTTATAGGCTTGGAAACCCTATGCAGGGTCACTATGAGTCGGAATGAGCTCCACAGAACACCACCATCACCACCAGAAGAAAATGGTACCTTTTTCCTTCTCCCTCTGGAGGTGATTTGGGAAACTGCCTAACTGGCTTTGTAACAAATCAAAACCAAATCTGCGGCCACGGAGACAAAGAGTAGACCTGCCCCATAAGGTTTCCAAGGTTGTAAATCTTTACAGAATCAGATTGCCACATCTTTCTCTTGTGGAGCAGCTGGTGGGTTTGAACAACTAACCTTTCAGTTAACAGCCAAGCACTTAACCAATATGCCACCAGAAGTCCTTTTGTAATCGGTAGTGCAGATGAAAGGAAAAGTACATGGAGTAGAGACAACAATGATATGAGGTTATTGAAAAAGGAACACTTTGGAGGCTGGCTAAAAATGGAAAATCCCATATAAATTGAGGGAGTAATTATTGTTATTGGTGGTGGTGGATGTATGTCGTGGAGTCAGTTCCGACCCACAGTGACCCTGTACAGGGTTTCCAAGGCTGTAAATCTTTACGGAGCAGAAAGCTTCATTTTTCTCCCGTGGAACAGCTGGTAATTTAGAACTGCTGACCCTGAGATTAGCAGCCCGATTTGTAACCACTACGCTCCCAGAGCTCCTTATTATTGTTATTACTATTATTATTTTCTTAATAACTAGGGAGACAGTATCTCTAAAGAAATGATGTGGGGTCTCCATACAAGAAGACAAGGCAAGAAGTAGGACAGTCAAGCAAAAATTGTAGACCAGATCTGTCTCCCTGAGCTTCTTCCTTCCCCAAATTTATCCAATTCTGGCTTCACCTCAGAGGTCTACTCCTGCCCTGGGAATGACCCTGTCTCGCTAAGACTGAATTTCTCTTTTTTCATACCCCTTTCTTTTGAGCTGCCCCAGCCCCAGGGTCATCTGATACCCAAATCAATATGACAGCCATAGCCCACATACCAACAAGTTGCTTTCCGTGGTGAGATCCTGACACTGGCTGCTCTCCAGACACCAGCCATGCACTTCCATGGAGGCCTGAAGCAGCAAGGCCAGCAGCAGGGCCCCTGAGCGACTGCAACAGGATCCCGGCATCTTCCAGGCAGGCTGCAGTTCTGAAGAGACAAACAAGATTGGTGTGACCCCTGCAAGGAGCAGAACAATGTTGGCCACTCACCAGAAAGGAACTTCAAGCCAGTAATAACAACATACTCACTTGTGGAGCTCAAGACTTTCTGAGGACAGGAGCGGTGTGGAGGGGACAGAGGTGTACAGGGCAGGGTAGTGGTGTGAGTTGTGGTAGGGAGGAAGGGAGTGGGACCAAGGCAAATTAGAAGCAACCCTTTCCTTTATCTCCTATGGGATCACACCCTTATGAGATTAGGGCTGGAAGCCATTTTAGGGATCATTTGACTCAGTCTCTCTTAAGAGAAATGGGAGAAATTGAGGCCCAGAGAGGAATCATTTCTTGTGTGTTCATGACAAGGGAAGACTAAGTAAGTGCTTTTGTTTCCAGCACAGAGCTTTCCCACCTCACCACCTGCATGAAGTACTTCTAATGCTTCAGCTCCAGGGGGCTGGCTGAGAGTAAATTGAGGAAGACAAAGAAGACTCCAAAATTCCTGTTCAAGATGGCCTTTCCCCTCCTCCCCACCAGGCTCCTATCTTTCTTCTGAAACTCTATTTCCTATCTCATAAGTGTGGTGCTGTAGGTTAATGTGCCAGACTGCAAAGCCATTTGAACTATAAGGTCAGTGGTTCAAGGTCACCAGTTGCTCCTCAGAAACCCTATACGGGGCTACTATGGGTAGGAATCAACTTGATGGCAACTTAACAACAACAACAACAAGGGCAAATAAAACTTCTGGTTAAATTTAGTCAAAAGTTCAGCCACTCCGATTTGCTGTCCTACACATGAATCACTCCAGAGCTCACTATTTCCTAGACCCCAGTAACTTTGGAAAGATATGTTTTAAATGCAAACCCTCCATTAGCACCAATACTTCTATTCTCTTAACAGCTTCTGAATGCAGGATATATATGCCAGATCTTTTATTCTCTAGCTCTCCCAGATGTAGTCTGAAATAGCTGGACTTGAAGAGTACAGATGTGAAGGGAAACAGAGAGTACCCCCTCCTACTATGAGTATATACCAAAGAACTTTTAGAGATTCCAGGAAGTATCTTTGCCTAGATGCTGAGTTCAATCACTCAGGATACAGTAAAGAGGGGAGCATTGTGGGGAATTCTTGTGCCCAATCCTCTCCTCACATCTCTGGGAGTCCTGGTGTGGCTCTATGGGATAATGCAGTGGACCAAAAGGTAGGTTTGAACCATAAGATCGGCAATTCAAATTCACCAGCCACTCCTAGGAAACCCTATACAGGGTCACTATGAGTCAGAACAACAACAACTTGTCCTCCTACTTGACTGTTCTCACCCCATCCCCTGAGCTTTTGTAATCACCCTACCCACAACAAAACCACAATCATTTTCTATTCAGAATATCTTCTCAAAGACCTGTTGGGGAAAAAACTAATTAGATGCGCAAGTAATTCACATTAAGGTGTGGATGACTATTCTGCTAGACATTCCCAATGGAAATTTGCATTTTAAAATAAAGTTTGCCTAAGGAAATCGCTCATTTGTGGTACTAGGGGCCCAATCTTGTTTATAGGGGAGGCTTTAGAAACACAAGTCCTTCTTGGAGCTCTTTGTTAACTTCAAAAGTCATTTCCTTCTCTCTGTCCCACCTCACCCCATTCCACTAATATTGGGTCTGCTTAGCACTCTCCCAAGTGTTTTCAAAGCAACCATCAGATGGCGCTGGCAACCAGTGAGCTGACCCAGCTGACCTCTACTGAAGACCTTGACATCCAGTAGGGAACAGGGACATGCTGATTCTGTTGTAGCTTTCTGATGTTCCAGTCCAAGTAAGTAGCCCAAATTAGTTGACAAGGCAATTTATTCTGAAATCCCCCTGATACATTTGGGTCAGAAAGATGTCACCAGATGTTATAGAAAAAGTAGAGATGATAGTTATATGTCACTCTGGGCAAGTGTAAAATAACATTTCTAGAGAAAGAAAGAAAATGATACAGTTCTGACAGTCCCATCAACTATATTTCAATTCTCCTAAAAGTTGGCCATTCTAGAACAACTTCCATGTCCTAAAAACCTTCCTCATAATCTGAGGACCTCCTGAAAATCCCTGGAAGACTATGTCCTCACTTTCTGCCCTCTGGTTGTGTTGTACAGCATGGTAACAGTCTCACTCCCAACTCTCTCAGAGTTCCATTCTACTGAGAAATGTTTATTTGGAAAGAACTTTTCTTGTTACTTATGTGTCTTTCCCATTTTTCTACAATGAACAAGGAGTCCTGGCATGATGCTGTAGGATAAGTGCAGGACTGCAAAGTCAGTTTGAACCACAAGGTAGGCAATTCAAACTCACAAGCTGCTCGTTGAAACCCTATACTAGGTTGTTATGAGTCAAAATCAACTTGACAGCACTGAAGAACAACAATGAACAAGGATTACTTTGGGTCATTCTTCAAATGTAATAAAGTAATGGAGAGATGCTGCTCCTTGTTTGTAAGTAGAAGAATGTTACCGCTTAATAATTCGATACTTTAGAACAGTAAGTCTAAATTTTCTGTTTTTAAATCCTGGCATTATGTCTATAAAAGAACTTCACTTATTAGAACTTCACATCTATGAGTGAAAGCTCTATGAGTTAAAGAAAGCATTTTGTTTGTTACTCCAAAATTGCACACTGGTCATGTCTTTTATAAAGACTAGAGGCCCAGAGTTTTGACCTTGTATCATGGCACATGCATCAAGTCCCATAACTATCATGTCAAATATATACATATATGGTATCAATTATTTACCCACCTTTGGTACATACCTTAATTGAGGAACAAATTCATACTTGTATTTTGCCTGGAGGCGCCTGGTCACTCAATGAGAATGACTCACACATACAAGAACTTCATATGTCATTTGGGAGATCCAAACGTCCTGCAGACCTCCCTTCTTCACTGGATACCTCCCACCCCCCTTTCTTGAGCCTGAGTCCCTCCCTTCCCAGCCTGGGGTATCTGGGGTCCCATGAACAGTACCTGAAACCAGATATTGTTGTTCAGAACCTTGGACAGCCCCCACTACGTCCACTAGTTTTCAGCGCCAAAGGGGTCTTGGAGAGGATGAACTCAACTGTAATGGATACAAGAATCACGCAACCAGGTGTGGGGCGCTAAGGTGGGCAGGGAGACGAGGATTCAGGGGCGCTAAGTCCAAAAAATGTATGAAATTCAAGAAGTGGATTGTGGCTTCAAACGTTTTTCTCCTGCCCACTTCTAACATCTATTTGCCCTAGAGGATAAATTGTTTCATTTTTAAGAAGTGGCGCCTACCAAATAAATAAGGAGGAAGAGGAACCAAAAGTTCTGGTTCTGTTAAGTACTCCTCAGAACGCGGTAGGAGTCTCAAGGGGTCCTAGTAGCCCCGGTGTCCCCAGCTCTCCACCTGAGTGCCTGGACACCTCCCTAGACTGGCGGCGCCCTTCTCAGCGCCACAGTCACTCTTGGCCGTCCGGGAGCGCCGCGGCTGCTCTGCTTGAGCAGCTCCTCAGTCTCCATCAGCACAGAAAGTTTTCAAAGATTCTAATATCGCAGGGAGAGCATGGCTCCGAGGAGGCGAGAGCACCCCAAGGGCCATGGGGGAGTGGGTCCCGGGGTGAGAGCACGGCTCCAAAGCCGCTGAGCCCTACCTGTCTCCGGAAGGCTGCTCTCCGGCGACTCCCGCTGCGGTGGGCGAGGATGCTTAGCGGCCTCTCTTGGCCACTTCTTTGCCACTGTTTCTGCTCCTTCGCAACCACCTGCTTCCCGTCACTGTCCTTGGTGCTTATATACCTGCAGGGCTCGCCCTAGTGGACCTTCCCAGCAGTCCTTTTCAAGCGCAATAAACAACGTCCATGGGAAGGGGGGCCAGGGCCAGGGGCGGGGGCTTCCAGGTAGGTACCAAGCAAAAGGGCATTGTGCCTGCAGAAGGGCTGTAGCTCTGCCCCAAGGCTGGAATTAACACCGTCCTGCCGAAGGGTGCACCTGGCAAGTGGCTTAGCACTCGAGTGTGGGTCAGGCCTGGCGAGTCTCTCAAGAGTTTGGGGCAAGGATGATGTTACCCGTGTGCGCCCTGTGGCTGACACGCAAGGGAGTGCGTTTGTGATGCCTCAGATTTCCCTAACATTTGGAAACTGTGATGTGCTTTGTCTCAGGAAATCACAACCTGTTCCAGCTTGAGTTGGAGGGGAGGCTGGAGAAAAGGTCAAGGAATCACTTGCCTGGAGCCCACAGGCTGCCCTTTAAAGAGTGTGAAGATGCCTTGCACTGTCCCACAATGTGTGCTTCCCGTGAGTCCAGAGCTAATCCCCTTCTGTGCCCCAAGCCCCAAGGATATAGTTCCCTTAACCATAGACCATTAATGGAAAGACGTATGCTATGAAGTACAACTGAAAATGATTTTCCTTGGGTCCTCTGCTCCTCTGTGATGGTGAGCTGAGAGAGCTGACTGGACACTCAATCAGTTTTCAAAATATGGCCTGGCCTTTGGGTTCTGGTTTGGACTCTAGTCCTTAATGTCAGGCTAGGGAGAAGAGGACAGCATTCTAACCTGCAGTGGGAATGGCTCTGCCTTAAATGGCGATAAAAAAGCAAAGACAAATTTTGAGTTCTGTGGGGTGGGGAGAGTTGGAATTAAACTGATTTTCAAATCAAGGTCCTTATTTAATCTGTTGATGATTGAAACTTTTATATCTGATCATATGCTCTTTTGGACAAGATCCAAGCTCCTGAAGAGTAAACAAAGGACTTTATCACTGAACTTTCGTCTCTTTCCATCCTCATTTCCCATCTCTTCATCTTGTAATCTTCCAACTAAAATATCCTTTGTACCTCCAATTACCCAGAAAAATTGGATTTTTACATTAAGATTTAGCTCAACTCTCTGAAGCCTTCCTTGACCTTTTTATCCTACCAATATTATTTGGTGTTATTTTTCATGTATTTCAATTCTTCATATATTTTTATACCCATA